AGTCGCCGCAAAGTAAATCGCGGCCGTACGTCGGTTGACTCCCGATTACTGTCTCTACATCGTAGATTGTCTCACCACAATGGTGCCTCGTTGGTGTGATCTTATTCTGATATCGTTACATCTTGCTTTTTCATCTTGGCACACTTCTAGACGACCTTCTACACGTTGCACTCTTTGTCGACATGTCGCTGGTGTTAGACACAAATCTGAAGTCGCTGTTTGCTCACTCCTTGGTGCACATATTTCATGTTCAACATCAGGTATCTGAAGGAGGCGCCATGAAACCCTGGAGTTTGTTTAGAGGTACCTCAACATACTGTATTCAAGTGTCGTTTTGTGTGTTATAGTTTCCTACAAAACCAAATTGCACTTTGTTCGTAATATACCCTATAACTGTTCACAACAATTAAAGTTGCTATGAAACATTGGCCACGAGAGGTGACTCGGCCAACGCAGCCTGAAGATTCCTCGCATAATTTTCTTCATGGGTCATTTTGGACATTGACAAATTTTCTTGTGAATAACGAGTGTTATGCACATGTGTTCTACTTTTTGCACAGGTACTTCAGTTACCCAGGCAGCACAAGGTGTTGGGCCAATATTGGAAGAGCATTGGCAAAAAAAGGTCCAACGATGGTCCACTTTAACCAATCTGCACCCAATATTGTCTATGCCATTATATAGCATCTTCAGTGATGGCCCAGCTTCTCCAATGACCAACCAATATTGGAAGCACATTGGCATAAAATGGGCAATCTTGGCCTGTCAGTTCCATTCACTTGCGAATATTGGATGAACACTGGCATAAAATGGACAATGTTGGCCTGTCAGTTCCATTGGGTCGCGAATATTGGATGAACACTGGTATAAAATGGGCAATCTTGGCCTGTCAGTTCCATTGGCTTGTGAATATTGGATGAATAGCGGCGTAAACCGGACAATGTTGGCCTGTCAGTTCCATTGGCTCGCGAATATTGGACGAACACTGGTATAAAATGGGCAATCTTGGCCTGTCAGTTCCATTGGCTTCCGAATATTCGATGAATACTGGCGTAAACCGGACAATGTTGCCCTTTGAGTACCCTTGGCTTGCTAACATTGGATGAACACTGGAATAAAATGGTCAACGTTGGCCTGTCCGTGCCGTTGGCATTCCAATATTTGATGGGGACTGAAAATGGACACTGTTGGCTTGTCTGCAGCATTGGCTTGCCAATGTTGAATAGCTTATAATGGTTACTGTTGTCTTGTTAGTACCATTCGCTCATCGTCATTTAAAAAACACAGTGGCATATAATGGTCAAAGTGTGTTAGTCTCACAACACCATTGGCTTAATAGTGGAAGCATGTTGAAATAGGCTGGTTTTGGCAAATTTCGTTTTACCTCAACAAGTTGAAATTGCTCGAGCGATTGTCAATTTAATGTTCTTTTTTCAAAGCGCGATTGAGGTGCTTTTCTGCAAAGTAAACAAAACAATAACAACGTACAGAACTTAATGGTGGTGTTTTGCTCTTTCACTGTGCATACTAAGGAGTCGCGAGCGATATGGGCTCATCAGGACCGCCCACTGGGAAAAAAAAAAAAGAAGAATCGATGTGCGCGTTATAGTCACCATAATAGATTATGTTGACTTTATGATCTCGACAGAAAAGCTTCGTACTCTAACTACGGGCTTGTGGGCTGCACCTCGTGTCAGGTGAAGAACTTCTTTGCGATTGATTGGAACAGGACACTATTCTGAAATGTGGTTGTACAATGACGGCTCTATGACTTTACGGCACTACTGGTGCTACAATAAGAGCCCTAATGCCACCTACATGGCGCCAAGGCACTGATAGCAGACGACAATGTTTGTTTGATATGGAGTCTAGCCCCTTTTTTCCGCATTTGATTTATCACTGTATCTTCAATATTGACATTAGGCTCCGAGCTGATTTCAGAGCTTCGTGTCAGTCAGTCCTTCTCCGTCCACTTGCTGTAGAGTTTATCATGTCTAAGCAATCTCTTCTACATTGGTTTTTGGAAACCCGGATAGCAAATACCAGCAGAGAGAAACGAAATAATTGGAGAGAGAAGTATGCAGGGGAGGGGTCGCGCCGACGGCCTCGGAACTAACGTCCCTGAACGGCTTCCCCTCCCATTTTCCCCACGCCGTCACTAATCTCTCCTTTGTGGGTGAAGAGGACTCGACGACCTTGAGGGAGGAGGACACTGCGCATTCCTAAGCTGACAGGGCCGGGGAAGCTACGCGCCGGCCGGACCAGTCATCACCTGCACCGCTCTCTGCGCGTGGTTACGGGAGAGAGTGTGACCACGTGAATAAATATAAACCTGAGATTGGTTCACCGAGCTTCTTAGCTTCCTCTGCACTCTCAGCTTAGGGGTGATGGAGTCCAGACCGCGAAACACACGCACACACGCACACAGAAGCACACAGAAAGTGGGATCGCGAGCACCAAGGCCACACGATAAGGCAACGACTGGAAGGCGGTGGGGACGGTCTCCTCAATTTCCAACACGCGCATCCGCGAACTGCAAGTGGGCAGGTGGGCTTCGCAAATCATGCATTTTTTTTTTTTTTTGTGGCAGAAATAGCTTTTTTTTTTAAGGAACAAGAATGGCAAGATAATCATGCTGATACCAGGACACCGTGGGTCCGTTTCCTGGTTGTCCGAGTGCATTTGATTGCTTAGCAGACTGCTTTTATCGGGCGAAGCGGCTCGGCATCTCCGCCATCCATGGGCAAGAACGGTGGTTCTAGGGTTCCGATCATCACCAGCGCATTTCGTCTTGTGCCAAGTGCGATCTTCAACATGCGGATTGCCAAGACCCATGGATATTCTTTCGGCAGCGCCTACATACCGGTGATCATCCTTTGTTGTGGGCATACATGTGACCACTAGCTTCGACGGACCGAAGACACGACGGACTGCTTTCTCTTCCATGTGAGTGACAAGGAGAGGTCCTCTTGACCATTGGGGATGGGTATTCTTGCTACGCAATGTACGTTTTGTCACTTTCCGATGAGTTTGAACCGTGTCGGACTCTGTGCCAGGGATCTCCGACGAGTTCAACGCGGAATCCACAGCGATCGGCCCGAAAGGCCCTGTACAGCGCTATTTGTAGTGCTTTTTATTCTAATAGACCGCGAGAGGCGTTCTGATTGGTTATTTCTGTGCTCGAAGTTTTTTTTATTTCATTTTTCTTGTTAAAATACGGCTGTCATTTTGGCGGCAGATGTGTGCTGCAGTAAAAAGTCCTCCAGGTATGTCCAAAGCCGAATACTACAAAGCGTTGAGTAGTGCTTATTTGACAAGGTTCGGCTTGTTGGGTGCAAGTTGAGTGTCAGCTATGTCACCGCGCTCTGCGAGTGTAATTGCCACTAATTGTCTTTACACGGCAAGCTATTTTATATGTGTGATTTTTTTTTTTTTTTGAATTCTTGATTGATTCAAGCATAAAATTTTGTTGAACTGTCATGTTCTTACGTGTTGAAATATCGGTGTAAACTTAGATGGCGAGATTATAATTCTTAAAACTTCTTATAGCTAGATGAAAAGTTAAGGGACGCCATGATGTTGCAAGATTAGAGCTAAGCAATTGATAAAATAACCTTCGTACTATTCAAATATTTTTTTTTTAAATCACTATAAATATTTGAATCTAGATCGATCGAGCTTTGAGTAAGGACAAGTCGGACCAACAAAACAATAGTAAGCGCCTGGGCCGTCTTGCTAGAAACAGCGTCTCAGCCGAGAGGGGGGAAGAGAAAGCACTGTCAAAAACAGCGTACGAGCTGAACGGGACTCAAACCTCGACTCAAGACGCTCGCGCGTTCCAGCCTTTACAGTGCTTTCTTTCACCCAGTCTGAGCTGAGACAGTGATTTCAGCAAGCTGGCCCCGGTGTCTTTCCTGCGCATCTATTTATTTTAGAAGGCAGTACTAAGTTTTTTATATACTAAATAATGAAAAATAATTCACTGGAAAATAAAGTTTATCATATAGAAAAGTAAACATAAAAAAGTCGGTAGGCTTTTCCGAGATTTTATACTTGAAGAGCAACTGAACCGATTAATCGAATATTTAATTAAACGGCAGCGATTACTAATGAAGGTCTCTTTTATTTTGATATTACTTATTGACAGGCGTAAGAGAACTGAGAGCCTCTGAAACCCTTCAACTGAATCCAAACCCCGCTTCTGACTCTTTCAGAATCCTGCGGTCATGCCCCTGTGTGGTATCCCCTTCCTTGCCCAGCGCTCTGCCCTGTCCACTACCGAGCCTGCCGCCGACCCTGCCACCGAGTCTGTCCAGGCCCCCGTGGTTGCACAATGTTTTAAATATATTTATTCGATCTAAATAAATTATGAACTGTCAAACGTTATGAACAATTCATTTGCATGCTTTAATGATTTCTAATGTGCCCAAATATGGTCAAATTGCCGCACTTATTAGAGTTTAGTATAAGAAAGAAAACGGTGCTTCAGGAAAAAGGGAAAGATACTTGCTTGGTTCTCTGCACTGTTTTTATGACACTGGTTAGAACACTGGCTGAAAAATAGCATCTGATAATGTCATAGACAATAGATGCAAAAATTTGCCAGTGTATTAAACTGGATGCCAATATTAGAATAGCCGATATTTAAGCCAATGTTGGAAGAGCCAGTGTGTAAGGCGTTGGATGCCAATGTTGGTTCAGCCAACGGTGAAACTTCTATGCCAATATTGGATAAAAAAGCGGAAACGACGATGGTCCAACGTGGGCTAGAACGCTGGCAAACCAGTGGTCCAACATTGGCATCAATGTTGGACCACCATTGGATCGGGTAGCGTTTTTCAAAAATGCCAACGTCAGACCAATATTGGAACCATTTTTTGCCAACATTGTGCCAACGGGGGTCCAACAATGGTGTGCTGCCTGGGTAGATAAACCCCAGCAAAGGCAGCAAGACAGTCTCATGGGGTCACACCAAGGATAACTGCATTCCTGCTCGAGTCCCGAGTCTTGTCACCAAACTTCACTGAACATAATGGTACATTCCGTTTCCTTAACTTTTTCTTCTGAAATGTGTTTTTTTTATTGTTGCTTTTTTCTATTGAAAAAAGGGTAGTACAACGTTTAAACCCCCAATGTTTTTTTTTTCTTTTTGTAAAATGTGTAGTACATCGTTTAAACACCCAAGCGTTCATAAATGTCTCTGTACCAGACAATAGGGTGTCTTATACTCTGTTTTATACTTAGCGTGGAACGCTGCGAAAGGTACTAAAGTGGTGCGCATGCAAAAATAGAAAAAGTGTTACTCCGCGCGTTTTGTGGACGAGTGGTAGAAGGCGCTGTTCTGGCGATATTGACGTCTCGGTGGCCGTGGTTTGAACCCATTTTACGCGCAAAGATTTTTTTTTTTTTTTTTTTAGACATACTTTTTGTGCAAGATTGTGCGTATTGACGAAGTGCATATTTCAGTTCCTCCTTCTGATTTTTATTTATAAGTCGCCGAGAGGCCAGATTTCTACCATCTGGTCTGCCGCTTTGCAAGTGTTATTTGCCTCCAGCACCGAGTTATATTTTCTTTCGTGCAGCGTGGAATGAGGAATCGCCCTGATAGCGGCCTTGTCCCAAAATTTATAATAAAACGTTAATCGACAATAGTTGTGGCCTGTACAGTTTATTTTGAAATAGCTGTCAAGGGTAGGAATCTCCCTCTCGGAGCACTTGCGATGCACCTTCAGGCGAATGGCGTTCTGTGTGAACTCGTCATGCTTGACGGTCCCCGTGCTCGAAACTTTCACGTTGCGAGGTCTTTGCTTCGATGACGCCACCTTGCCAGATGGGCACTGCGCCTTGCACTTCGCGACAGTACAGGGCACACTCCAGTGTCGTTACTGGCCGTCTCCAGGACTTCACGACCGAATTCTCCGGGGAATGTGTTCTTATACTCCCGTACACATTGGCGATCATCTGCTTGCACTCTTTCAAGATTTTCGCACAACGAATCTTTGAAAACATCCGAGCAGGAGAGGTACTTGAGCTTGCTGCTAAAGACGCCATCTTCTCAAAACCAGTCAGTGCCACACAACTCGAAAACCCACAGCGGCTGCCACATGGATGAACACGAAAACAATTTAAGGTGGTTTACATTACCTTTTCCTTTTTCTTGAAAAACATTTGTGCTCCGTTGAAATCATAACGCCACTAACAGTTACTAGCCCCGAGGAGGCACATTTTCCGACTTTTAAAAATTTTTTTGCAGGGGACGCACTATCTTATGGGGCGAACGTAGGCACGGTCAGCAATGCAAACCGTTGCGCTAGCTTTGACTGCGTTGCACTCTATGTATGAAACGGAGTATAGGATCGCTTCAGACGGGGCAACCTTTCCAGCAATTTTGGGGCTGCTGGCGGGTTGTTCCCTAGTTTTCCCTAGATCGACACGAATTGCTGAGATTGGGTCCGGCTCGAAGCAGACGAGCAACTTTGACTAGTCGGAGATGTTTGAAGCGGCAGCAGCCAATCAGGAATGCAATATTTTCACAGTGACACCTCTGTGGTCGTGATGATGAGAACTGAGGACTTAGTTCAGGTTTGAAATGGATCATTTTTGAAAATAAACTGTTTCAAAAAGATGAATTAGTATTCTCAGCGCAATTTAAAGATATAAAAACCTGTTTTTAGGATATAACTGTGCGTCTAAATACTGTAAGAAAAATAAAATTTCATTATGATGATTGCAAGTCGTAGCAATTTGGTTGCTGCATGTGAACACGGGCGGCCCGTGTTGCTGGTGTTGCGACATGAAGTTGCTGGGCGAAATTGTTCCGTCTGAAGCGGGCTTTAGGGAACTGAATTCAAGGGCCGTGGAGCTCTGGGTGCAAGCCCACCTGGAAACATTTTTTTTTCTTTTTTGCCTTTTTTAGTATTTAAATAGATATATATATGTAATTGTATACTTTTTTTAAGTTTTAACATGTAGACGCATAATTTACACACTAATTCATTTTCAGAAGCGCTTTTATTCACACTCCGTGGCTTTCTAGTGCTTGCAATAGCTTCTCGGTGAGCTAATGCCAGCTCTGCAAAGGGAGAGGGATCTTACCACGCTTTGCAGGCTGTAAAGCTGTGGCTTGCACAGCTCTAGTGTGTCACACCTCGCTCACTGGCTCCATCGCGAAGCATAGGTGCTTCATGAGTCGCGCCACACCGTAAGCCAAAAAACGGTCGGGTGACAAACCTGGGACCATTTGTCACTGCACTCAGCTATGGTATGGTGGCATGGTCGGGGCATGAAGCAGGGGTACAGTTTGGAAATGCTGATCTTCATGACATTTTAAACACATTTTTCATTACTTTTGTGTCGAGTTGTCAGCATTCTAAAGGTGAGAAAGCAAGCAGCAGCGACAGCGAGAAAAGAAAAATTTAAGACCGCTTTCACCAAGAATCAATTACGAGCACTAGAAAGGCATGGAGTGTAATTAAAACGCTTCTAAAGGTGAATTAGCGTATAAATTAAGTACTTGTGCCTCAAAAATACAAAAAAAACAATGTAAATAGAGTTATCAGGATAAAAATATACACCAGGAGGACTTCAACCAAAACTACATTCTGTAAGTTTGAAATTTGACACCTTAAACCACTTGGTCACCTTGAAAACACTTGCCATGCGCGGCAAAGAGCAAACTTCTGGCCTTGATTGGCTGGTGCTTGCCACCAAGACCTGCATGTATAAGAAAGAACCCGGTCTTAGTCAAACTTGGGTGTTTTTGCAGAAGAGAGACCACAAAATACTAATGCAAGACCACTACACATAGGTTATGGCATTCAAGAGGAATGAAATACAAAGCTCATATAGGCGGGCAATAGCTCATCTTGAAAATACTTGCTCTCGGTGGCCGAGAACAAACTCGTGTTCCTGATTGGAAGCCATTTGCTGCGAAGAATACCTGTAGATATCCTAAAGAGCCCGGTCTTAGTGTAACACAGATGCTTTGGCCGTACAGAATACAAAAGTCTGAAACAAACCACAAAAAGCAGGAAATAGTGTCTGCGAGAGATGAAAAAAGACCCAAGTGGAGAGGCTCGTTCTGCTTCACGTTAGTCAAATAGTGTAGCTCATTTTGCTAAAACGATGCATATTTGCTAAAAAAAAAAGTATCTATATTTTGCCCCATTTAGCAGAGTTTACTGCCAATGGTACCTGCACACCAGAATAAGTCTGAATTAGTCAGTTGTTTTTTTTCTTCTTTTGATGAGCGACAACAGAATCCTAAACAGGTGATGAAACAAAATATGAACCCAGCAAGACAGGCTAGTTTGCCTTGATGCAAGCACAGTGCCTCGGCCAACCAAATGAGGTTCTAATCTTTATCACTTGTCATTATTGGTGGGAATAGTAAAGTGAATGAAAATAAGGCAATCTCTCTTGCAGCCGACAGCTCCAAACAAAATTCATATACCTCGATGAACGACCTGGAAATAAAATTGGGTGGTGGCCAAGTGGTTTAAGGTGTCAAATTTCAAACTTACAGACTGTAGTTTTGGTTTAAGTCCTCCTGGTGTATATTTTTATCCTCATAACTATATTTACATTGTTTTTTTTTGTATTTTTTAGGCACAAGTACTTAATTTATATGCTAATTCACCTTTAGAAGCGTTTTAATTACACTCCATGCCTTTCTAGTGCTCGTAATTGATTCTTGGTGAGAACGGTCTTAAATTTTTCTTTTCTTGCTGTCGCTGCTGCTTGCTTTCTCACCTTTAGAATGCTGACAACTCGACAAAAAAGTAATGAAAAATGTGTTTAAAATGTCATGAACCCCTGCTTCATGCCCCGACCATGCCACCATACCATTGCTGAGTGCAGTGACAAATGGTCCCAGGTTTGTCACCCGACCGTATATGGGCTTACGGTGTGGCGCGACTCATGCAGCACCTATGCTTCGCGATGGAGCCAGTGAGCGAGGTGTGACACACGAGAGCTGTGCAAGCCACAGCTTTACAGCCTGCAAAGCGTGGGAAGATCCCTCTCCCTTTGCAGAGCTGGCATTAGCTCACCGAGAAGCTATTGCAAGCACTAGAAAGTCACAGAGTGTGAATAAAAGCGCTTCTGAAAATGAATTAGTGTGTAAACTATGCATCTATATGTTAAAACTTAAAAAAGTATATATGTATATCTATATATATATATATATATATATATATCTATTTAAATACTAAAAAAGACAAAAAAAGAACAAAAAATGTTTCCAGGTGGGTTGCACCCAGAGCTCCACGGCCCTTGAATTCAGTTCCCTAAAGCCCGCTTCAGACGGAACAATTTCGCCCAGCAACTTCATGTCGCAACACCAGCAACACGGGCCGCCCGCGTTCACATGCAGCAACCGAATTGCTACGACTTGCCATCATCATCATGAAATTTTATTTTTCTTACAGTATTTAGACGGGAGAGCCGGCTGTTGTTGATTGGTTCCCGTTTGGCACAGCCTTCTTAAACCGAGACAGAGTGGACTTTGGTATCTTGAAAGACGCGCCCTTCTCTAAGTAAACAAGTCGTCGACGCCGAGTTGCTTTACTACTAGCCATAATAACAAGTCACGGAGCAAACGCAGCCGTCAAACCAGGCTTGTGAACACGCGCACGAACAACAGGCAACAGGAAAGAAAAATGTAGAATTGCTGAGGAACAGAGGGGAGCGAGAAGCAGAATGACGCAAATGACGAGACTGACGCACAAAATAAAATTTAAAAACATAATAAAAAAGAACCAGTTCGAGTTTCGAACGATCAAAAGTAACGCAGACGACGAAAGCGAAAGTCACGCACAAATACTCCGCCTAAAAATGGTCCACGTAAATACAGAGCAATTAATAGAAGAGCCAATGGGAGAAACACCAACTCGACCACACTTCCAAGACGAAGAACAAGTACGAGCTGCCGAGCGTCGAAACTGAGAGCACTGTGCGGAACAACGAACAACCTCAAGGAAAACAAAGCAAACCGAGGAACGGAACAAGCCGAGCCACTGAGCCGAGCGGACCAGT